AGCTCCCCAGAGCTCCTCAGAGCTTCCTCCAGTTGTCAATTATATCATTATGATTCCCCACTTCTACTGTGCAGTGTATAAATTTGTTTGTCATTTGCCGACTTCGAACTCCCTGCTAATTGTGGCTCTGTTTTTTTGTTCCCACTGATGTTAATGCATTTTGATTTTGCAACTTGCAAACGGAGGCAGAAGTTCGTGATCTGTGGCAATCGCTTGACATTTACAAGGCGGCGGACTTTTGTTTTTAATTAGATGAGGCCCCAAGTACGGGTACGGGTCTGAGTGAAGCTGGAGTCTGGGGCCAAAACCGACTGGGTGGTCTGGCTGATTATCGACGCGAGGGCTTAGATCTTTGCCGTCGATTAAGCTGCTTAATGCCATTAACATGATTAAGTGGCTTCTCTACAAGCTCCAGAGCCCCCCTACTTTTTACTTCTGGAACTCTCCACATGATGTCTTGCCATTGTAGTTGCGTGGAAAATTCATTCATTTATCCATTGATTCGTTCATAAGTTGAGTTCCGCACAGGAGTTCCGATCGACTGATTGAACAATTGATCTCTGATCGCCGTCTGTCTATGGAAGATTCGAATTGAAAATATTTCTCCTCAAAGTTTAGACCAGAAAACTGGAAATTTTTTTCGCGATTACTATCCCGTTTGACAGGCTTTTCTTTCGGGGTGGCTTGATCCCCTTACCGGGTACCGGGTCGGCCAGTGTCAGAGGTCAAATTGGTCGAAAACTTCTCATGGGTCAGTCCGGATAAATCAAGAACCAACCAGATTTCGGACACTCACAAAAAAACTAGTTTCACTACCAATTTTAATTCAATTTTTTTGTTGGTACGAATGACCTTTGATCTTACGACCAACAAAACCCTAGAATGGGCCAATATTTCCAGTACACTCCGCTCTCTGGGAACCGTTCCCGAATTCAGCCAGCTGCTTGCCGCATTTCAGCTTTCAGAAAACTTTTATCAGCGAAGATAACGGGAGACAAACACAATTTGCCCCGAAACTTATTTACATTTAGCGGCAAATATCTCATACGAGTAGATACGAAAACTGTACGGATCTGAGAGATCTGAGATCTTATTTTATGAATGAACTCAGTTGAGGAGTAGGGCCGAAGGAAGTGCGAGGTATGCGTAATGCAGTAATAAGTCAACAACTAATTTTAGAACTATGAATAGAAGCCCCCCGTCTGGTAGTCTCAGGGCGGAATGTAAGCCCAGTTTATCTCCAAGCAAATATTTGCCAAGATAATTGTTGATTATAGTGCATCTGGGTCGAGATGTTTTGCCTCTGAGTCTCATATCTCTCTGTGCAGGTGGGAACCTAAAGATACTATTCTGGTAAGTAGTCAAAAGTGGTTCCGTTTGTTGTTGGTTGTATTGTGGGACATCTGTGCATTCCCTCCAATGTCTTACTGTCTTACTGTCTTATGCAAATGTCATTGCGGCACATCCGGTATCCACTGCCTGATATACGATTTCTTTAATTACTTCCCTTAGTGAAACGAATCTTAATCGAATGCAAATCGGAGACGGAGACGAGACGCAGACGCAGACCGAATGACCGCTGAACACTTGGGTCGCCGCAGAACAGAAGCTCTACTCGACCGGATCCAGGTTACTTAACACTTGGTTATACTCGTAGTCACCCTCGTCGTTTAATTGCTGAAACCCAATACTTCTTAGGGCTTTGATTGCCCCTTGCGGTTTCCAATTTCCAGAGAGGGAGAAAAGGGTTCGAACTCGATGTTGAAGTTAGGGTTGTTTCTGTCCCACCGATAATATTTAATAACAATTGATATAAATATTGAAAGTATTATTGAGTCATAATTTGACTGAAAGAAGGGTGCTGTCCCACTTTATGTGAAATTTGAGTTGATCTTGGCTTTGGCTTGGTTATGGTTATGGGCACTCGTTCTTAATCTCCAAGAGCTTATCTTGGACTCGGGGCTCATAAATAACATCTTCGAACCGCTCAATTTTCAATGCCGATAAGGGCTTATCGATGAAACTCGAATTAGAATTGGAGCAGGCCAGATAGTCGCTGTTGACGGTTTCGTATTTCAGATCGCAGCTCGTAAAAATCGTAAATAAATCAGCAGAAAAAAACAAGCAGCGATAGTAGAAGGATTCTGTTATTTTTTTGGAGATATCCCCAACGTAAAATTAACGTTCTTCGGGTACTCGAGCTCCCCTTTACATTCTCATTTTCATATCCCCACATCCTGTGTCATTTCTCACGGAAATATCAGCATTCTTTCTCATTTTTTAGTCCCTGTAACAAATTCCATTGGGTTTGCTCAAGACACGTCTTTGTAGAATCACCCATAAATTGTAATATTCCATGGTTGAGTCGAGATCCTGGCGCAGTGGATGTCACATTTTGGTTAGGGAGACGTTTTTCTTATTGTTTTTTTAATACTTGTCCAGATGTTACAATAAGGTTGTGTGCCCCAGACCCCGAGGACGAAGGCGAAGACGAAGATGAAGACTGCTCCATGTGTCGTTGATGTTTCGCTCTTTGGTATTTAAATATTGTCGCTGTCGATGTCGGGATTTTGTTCTCACACTCGTTCTCGTTGTCGTGTAGCTAATTTGTGATTTCTGGTGTTTTTGGTGTTGGATTTGGAAAACCATTTTCCGGCTATTGATTTCCATCGAGCAGAGCGATGTCTCGAGGAGTGTATGAGTGGATGACATGCAAGTGCCGGCCGGTGGGATGATTTATTGACATGTTTACCGTTTCGGAAGGGGGCCACGGATTGGGGGTTACGGTTACCCTATCCCCTATTTTTATCATGGGAAATTTCTTCTTGTACACCTGTTTATCCCAGTGGATATCCTGCCCAAGCCTGTATCCTGCATCCGTATTTGCCAGAGGATATCCACCAGGAAATCGGACAGCTCCAAAGATCACGTAAATATTGTGGAAAATATAATATTTACCCACCGCACACACACAAGACTCCAAACAATGTCTTTCCCAAGGATATTCAACTACACGAAGAACAAAGCAGAAGCAAAACTGCATTTTCCACAGTACTCGTACTCGCACTCGCACTCGCACTCGTAATCGTAGTTTTTCCCCGTCTTTTCTGCGCCTGCGCACAGCCCTCAGTCCTGCAATGAGCGACGGTAATTTGAAGACCGCGAGAGAAAAGCGAATGGATAATCCACCGGGGAGCTCATACGAGTATACAAATTTCCAATTTGATTTTCCCACACATTGGGGGTTGTGAGGCAGCGGGAAAATTAGTCTTTTTATGCTTAATTAGGAATTTGTATTGAGTTTCCTCTGCCGTGTTCTTTTCTGAAGGAACAGCGCAGGAAGTGCCCCAAGCAATTGCTGCGGCAGACAGACAGTTGACAGTTGATCTCTGCCTCTACCTGAGGCACATGCTGCGGTTTGGCTTTGTTTGCTCTAGCTGCTTAATTGCACTGGCACTGCAACCTTGCCACGCCCACGGAAATCTCGACCACAGTCCAAACAAACACAAACACAAAAACAAGTCAAGTGCAGAAAACCCAAAAAAAAAAAAACGGAAGGAGCCGAGGGCACTACCTGCTGTCCGTCAGGAAGGATATGCTGCTCTGTTCTGCGCAGACGCAACGGTTTCCATTTCACTTACAGCTGCCTGAGTTTTTTGTGGACATAGGACATCGGCTTGGACATGGTCGTGGGCATGGACATGGACATGGCTGGTGGACAGCACTTTTGGCACTCGTTCTGCGGTTTAGGCAGACATGTGTCTATAATTTTATGCTGTGTCAGAGGAGATCCGGGTAAACGAAGTCAAGAGTCCGCTTGCGACAGGCGTGTGGTTGAATTTTGTGAACAGAAGAAAAGGCTTGGAGGGGGTTAAAATAAATATTAGTTAAAACTTCCTCATGTTTGATAAATTGGAAAAGAATCCACTCTGTAATAAATAACATATATTCTTTACCTCGGATCATTTCTTTTCCCTGTATTCCCAAATTGAAATCTTAACAAACAGCAGCATCTGCAGACGGGTTGTCATTGATTCCTCTGGCATGTGGCTGATCTGATTTGGGGTTTGCTTTGCCTCGTTTGCTGCATAATCGCTGTTGACGCGCATAAATTTGTGGATCCCTCCGCAGAGGAATCAATCCCACACTCAACTCCCTATTCAAAAATCACCCCTTTTCGGGCTTATTTGTTTAGTCAACAAGCGGATTAACCAGCGGGTAACTTGAGATCGCCCCAAAGTCTCAAAGAAGCCACGGAAGTGTAGCTGTGATTCAAGGAAGGTGAGAGGGAGCTACCCCAAAGATTGGGAAGTGTTTGAAATGGTTTCACTGACAACTGTCACTGCACCCAAAAAAGGGAGACATTTAAATACATTTCTATATTTGGAATCGGGAATTTCGTTTTAAAATTTCTCACAGTTTTCCCCATAAGAGTTTTTTGTGCGCTGCCTGCAATTAAAATTTAATTTTCAAGTAAACACTAATTATGTTTTTCCCCCTAACCGAACTATGCCTAATTTCGTCGCTAGTCAATGGAGGAGGCTCACCCTTAGTCGATATTGGAGGGTCACCCCTATTTTTCAAGTTCCTCGGCTGTGCCTTGATCCTGTCGCAGGTGGTTCGTTTCAATGTTTCGATGTGGCGCAGGGCTTGCGTGCCATTTGCCCGACACAGAGATTTCTACGGTTTGTGTGTGCCGTACCACAGTTTATAGTTTCCGGATCAAAAGATCACTTCCTGCAGGAAAATAGTATGACAGGATGCTCAACGATTTGGTGGGAAAGTTTTGTGTGGTGCGTCAGAAAATTCTTAGTCCTTCCTCTATTTCCATGATATTTAATGATGTGCTTTAAAAACAACAAAAAATCAAACATGGGGAAGGCTTTGATATTTTCAGCTCCAATGAGTACGAGCATCTCCACAAATTATATATCACAATTTTTGATTTTGTTGAGAGTCTCGTTTGAAACACTTCGAAATTTCTGTTGCAAGAGTTCTGCTGAAAGGAGTTTAAAATATTCAAGGACCATGCATCGCTGGTTCTTTGCCACTGATCGCGAGAAATGTGAGGAGGAGGCTAAGCCCTTGGAGGATCCCGCTCAGTTGGGAGCAGAAGAAAAAGAGAAGCAGGAGTTGGTGGCACCACCCGTTCCCACCACCGAGTGGCCCTTTTGCGTATTCTATCCCCGATCGCTGCAGGGCAACGAGTATGTGGCCATCACCGGCGATTGTGAATCTCTCGGAAACTGGGATCCCAAGAAGGTTTTCGTAATGGACAAGAAGGACTGCCACAGCCAGCAAAAATTCGAGGCGAGTGTAGTCATTCCCAGAAATTTCGACATCCACTATCGCTACTGTGTGGTCATCCCCAATACGGAGACGGATGAGATCTACATACGCTACTGGGAGTCCCGCCTGGAGTCGCGTGTCATCCGCACCTGCCAGAACATGCTGAAGGCCTGCGATCGCTTTGGGTATCAGAACGAGAGTGATACCGACTATCGGGTGGATCGGGGATGGGCCACCAGCGAGACCTACATCCACTTCAAGATCTTCAATGCGCCGTTCTTCTGGCAGAAGCAGTCTCCCCGTCTGCTCTACGTCCATATCCAGCCGATGTTCGAGAAGGAGCAGATCTGTCCGTATGCGTACAAGGTTCCTGTCCCAGCGCTCAAATGTCTCACACTCAGCAGCCGTCAATCCGAGTCCGCAGCTGGCGATGAGACCGACCAGAGTCTCCGTCTGACCTACACAGAGGTAGCCAACCTGCTCTACTCGAGTGAGCTTAGCTTCCAGCCGGACCATGGAGTCTGCTGCGGGCCGGAAGACATGCAGCTCTACCACTGTTCCATTGGGAGTCCGCTGGAGACGCACTACCGTCTTGATCTGTACACCTTTGCCCACAAGGCAGGGTCCGACGAGCCTCCCTACCACTACGGCTATGGCTTCGTGAAGCCTGGTCAGCTGGTGGGCAGCGAGGGCCATATAATCGTCTCCATCACCTGTGCCTCCACCCACCGACCCCTGATCGAGATGTGCCTTCGCTACCTGGTCATCCGTCCCCTGGAGAACTTCAAGTGCGATATGCGGCGGACGTACGAGCGCTACTGGCGCCGCAATCGCCTGCCGATGGACATTGGCCATCGAGGATCGGGCATAACCTACTTCCTCGGACAGGATCTGGTGCGGGAGAACACGCTCTACGGCTTCAAGCAGGCCGCTGTGGCCAATGCCGATATGGTGGAGTTCGATGTGCAGCTGACGAAGGACGCCCAAGTGGTTGTCTACCACGACTTTGTGATGAAATTCCTCCTGCAGCGCTGTTCTAGCTACGAGGAGTTACTCACCAGTTGCGATCTGCTGATATTTCCCTGCGAGAAGCTCAGTCGCCTAAAGCTCTTGGCGATGGGAGGATGCAAGCGGACCAACCATATTGCCGTGCCCTTTGAAGCCTTCACCTACGACCAGCTGACCCTGGCGCGAGTCTTGCGCTTTGCCGCCAACAAGGGACGCGAGGTGCCATGCGATCGTATGCTGCATGAGCAGCGGCCCTTCCCTCTGCTGCTGGACATGTTCGAGAAGGAACAGACTCTGCTGCCACAGTCCCTTGGTTTCAACATCGAAATCAAGTTCCCGCAGCTGGACAGCACCCGGCGCTGGGAGGACGAGTGCTTCAAGCCTACCTTTGACCGAAACCTATACGTGGACACTATCCTGGAGATAGTCCTTCAGCATGCCGGCAGCAGACGCATCCTTTTCTCATGCTTTGATGCGGATATCTGCACGATGGTGCGCCTGAAGCAGAACCTCTATCCCGTGATGCTGCTTACCGAGAATCCCGAGTGCCCGGTCCAGTATTTGGACAAGCGTGTCAGTGTCTTGGAGAATGCTGTCCACCTGGCCCATTCCTTAGAGTTCTTCGGCCTGGCCATGCATACCAATACGGTGCTGCAGCAACCGACAATTGTGGCCCAGCTCCAGCAGCTGCACCTCCATGGCGTCGTCTGGGGCAGCCTTAATGTGGACATTCGGGTGCGCGATGTAATGAAGAAGCACGGGGTAGTGGGCATCATCTACGATCGTCTTGATCAGCTGGATCAGGCGGGGGAGGAGCTGCCCTGCGGCAATCTATGCATCGTGGATTCAATAGCCAACCGAAAGATGCTGCAAGAAATGGAGGAGAAGGAGTGGGGGGCCAAGTGCGGCTTTAAGTCCGGGGATGATATTAATGAGGCGCCCAGATATTGCTAGCTGTTGAATTTACAAGATACTATACGCTGGTATTCTCAAAAAATGCTCTGGCTTTCCTTTACGAATGGGAGACAAAAGTAATGGCTTCCAACGTGTGTCCAATATCTTGGCTTAGTAATTCACGCGCCCCACGCTCCTGGGGAATCCCATAAAGACAGAGGGCATTACACGACTAAGCCGTGAATATCCACCAGTTTAAGCCACAGTCAAAGTTACGACAATTGTCAATACAGAGAGCGAGTGTTCTTACCCCTTTGAAGGACCACCATCACCAGCACCCCCCGGCAATTGGCGAACTTTTTTCGCAAACATTCCAGGGAAAGACTGTGCGTCAAAGGAGATAAGCTCATGTGAACTATTGCCAGAAAGATAAACACAAAGGCAGGGACGGTCCATGGTCCATGGTCCGTGGTCCATACAGGATGCTCAGAGAAGGGGTTAGAGTTAGGGTCCAGGAGTCCTTTAGTCCTTTAGTCCGGTCAAACGACACACAGCCTCGTAAATGATATCCCATGGCGAATGGGTCTTGTCTTCCTTTTATGGCCCGTTGCACACTTTAGCAACACTCACTCGACGCGACGCGGCGCTGGTCGCTGGATTGTCTTTGGGCTCAACCCCATTCCGAGGCGGGTCCCCTGCTCGGGTATTAATATCCTTTTGCATATCATAAGACTCGACTCTCTCTCTCCCTGTGGGATGTTTGCTAGGTTGTTGTGCAACTTCCATCCATACCATTATGCTATTTATCATAATTTTTCAATTTAACACTGCTTTGTACACATGGGACAGATACACAGATACACGGATACACCTCAGCATGTCCCGGACATCCTTCTTCCTGGCTCTATCCTGAAACTATATACTTTCAATGTTTACTTGCGCAAACATCCTTTGACGAACTTTGCCCATTGTCCAGGAGTCCACTTTGATGGCTTGGCCGTACTTTCGTTTTTGCATTCTCATCGATATCCTCCTGCCTGTTTGCTTTGCTCATCCCATGGACGGACCTATCTTCAGGGACACACTCACGTGGCCGTTAAGGACGACGTTATTAATGAGCATTTTGACACTTACGTCTTGACATTTGCACAGCTGGTCGTTTGTCTTAAGACTTTTGGCCATTGCAGCGCTCGATTGGAAAAGGTCAACTACTGTCTGGATCCCCCAGCTATCGTAGATTGTTTTCTTCTTTCTTATAGCTACAGCCTGATGATGCCTGATATTTGAATAAAACTATAATTGTGTTTGCTTTGTACAAAAGATGAGAATTGTAGGGTCTGGGATTTAGTTAGCGATTGATTGAGAGAAAAGGAAGTTAACCTATGGTTAAATTTACATCTAGGAAATAGGCAATATTAGTTTATTCTTCCCATTGCGCTTTTACCTTTAGTTGGTATCCCCACAAATAGTAAAGCATTTGCATAAGTCAAGACTTACTTCAGAATATGGATAATGATTGATTGAGATGTTGGCCTTTTTGGGAGATCAGAAAGGTGACCATTTGGTAAGATATGGTTTGTCATTCTTTGGTTAAGCGTGAGGTCTTCCTCTCTGTGTTCTCTCCACTCAAACAAATATACATTCAATCTCCTCCAGTCTCTGCAATCAAGGCTTGCATAAAACTCTCTCCAGGCTCCGATCAAATTAAAACATAAATTCATGGAGGACAAACAAACTTTCCATAGAGGGAAACCCTCTTCCTTAAACGCAAATTGAAAGCCCTGACCATCGTCCAGTTCCAGCATTAGCACAGAGCCAGCTGTCTTCAGGGTTATCAAATGACCAACCCCACTCCAATCCACTCCACCCCACACTCCACTCCCTTTCCAACCCATTGCATTCCCTTAGTGCCGGGGATTGTTTGCCTTCAATTTGACTACAAACCATAATTTATCTTTTCAGACGTGTTGGTTCCTTCGGTCAGCGCGACAATGGGCGCTGGGCCAGCGTTGGTCGCCAGCGTCAAGGATTATTGATTATGCAAAGTGCCTTTGGAGGACACAATGCCGAGAAAAACAAAGGGCTTAAGCAAAGAGAAGAAAGGATTCTCGTCAAGAAATCTCAAGCTGGGCGAAGGGGTTGCTCAAAAACTGGACATTGGTCAGTGGAAATTATGAAATATTCTGACGAACCTGGAAAAGTATCCCCTTACAGGATACAAAGTGTGTGTTTTCGCTTATTAGAGAGATAATGGTTTCCGACAACGGACTCCGGACTCTGTCTTAATGGTCAGTTTCGCTATTTTGGCATGGTTAATTAATATCCAGGCTCCTGCCGAGTGTGAGAAAGTTGCTACCTCCTCCGAAGAGGGAGGCAAAGGTGAGACACCGAAAGGCTTTGGCCGCTGACGGATGCTGATGGATTAGGGCGATAATTAATGATGCATCGGACACTGCCCATCGGTAACTGCGGCGTGGCTGTATCTGTATCTGGTTTTGGTATTATCACAAATTGACCAAGTAAACGAGGATGACCTTCGGTTCTCACCCAAAGGATCTTTGTGATCTGTTGAACTATTGTAACTAATTTGAAACCTGGTTTCTTTTAAGCAACTCTTTTGTGTCTTCAAAACATTTCCTGATTAGTATTTTGAGGAATTTCCAAACAGATGCTCCAAACTTTTAGTAAAGCTAAGAAGTTATCCTCTTCGATCTCTAATCGATTATCTGCCTATTCCTCTATTCCTTCTCTACAAAATCATTCTGTAATCAACTTGAAAGAAAACGTTTCGAACTCTTTTTTTGTATTTAGTTGAGAAATTAAAATCCTTCAAAAAACAATATTTTTCAGTTCGCTTAAGAAATATCAATTCCTACAAAAAAAGAGGGAGAAATGGTATCATCTTCATCTGTTCCGTTTCAGAGGCTTTTTCATCTTTTGCCTGTCCGTATATAGTACATATATACATTAAATATGTGTACATATATAGAGACAGTGTTGTTGCAGACAGTCGGTTGATAAGAAGCATTTTGTTTCTTTGAATGAGGCTGATAAGCGCCATTTAAAACGGAGCCAGAGCGAGAGCCAGAGGCGAGGTCAATTGACCTGCTTTTAGGCAGAGACTTGAGCACGTACATATGTACATACGTATGTACGTCCGTTCATCGGAACATCGCAACATCGGAGAGTGCTTGCCAGAGAGATCCCCTCTATATGAGCAACGATCCCCCGCCATCACCGCTAATCTGTCAGTCGAGTGTCTGTTTGTTCGCTGTCAATTTTCAGGCCAAAAATGTAAACAAAAACGGGAATAGAAAACATACTAAAAAGAAATATTCCACACGCTTCTAATTAACGAATAAATAGCACTTATTATTCCTCTTATATTCCTCTGAATAAATACACACATATGTACATAGACGTATATATGTATTTATATACCAGAGTTTCTATATAATAGATGTTGACAATAAACAGGCGTCTGTGGCTGGTCTTATCAACCAAAAAGAGTATGCAAAATTGTTATTTAAATAATGTCTTATATGGAAAGAGAGAACTTTGAGATTATAATTTGTTAAAACTGAACTTTTGTCCTGTAACAGAGGGAAGAACATCATCTGAGCATCAGACAGAGCATTCCCTGATCTCTGGCGACATCAATTTTTAGGGTGAACAATTTCAATTAGGTTCACGTTGAACCGTGATTCAGATTAACACACTCCAACACTTCCACAATTCCATTTGCATTTGCTTTTCCATTTCCATTTCCAGAGACCTCTAGATCGATCCCCAAGCACAAAGTAGTAGTATCTGATAATGCAATTGTTGTGCAATCTACTATAGACATACATATTTTGCATACTGCAGTTAATCAGTACTAAAGAACGGGGTACCACTACTTACTATCCCACGCTACTATCCGTCAAGACAATGCTGTTCATTGGACGAACAATAGATGGATATTCATGCGGTTGTGTCCACCACCATTAGAAGTACATTAGGGTGCCGGTGCCCCCTCCTCCCCCACTCACAGGAGCAGCGGAGGCGACACACATGCAAGCTGCAAGAGAAATTCGAGATACGAGATACTCGTACTTCAGCCGATGATGACGACAACGGCTGCTGCTGCTTCTGCTGCTGTTGAGGATCCAAACAAAGACGCCTTTTGTTGGTACGGATGGATGGTTGGTTGGATGGTTGGATGGATGGGTTCATGTCGTATCTTTCTTTCTCCTGGCCCCTGGCCGCAACCGCAAATGACGCAAAATTGTCGCCAGCACACCCTCTCACACTCTCAAACTCACTCTCTCACACACAGAAAATAAATCTCTTGACAAGATAACAAGATGCATCTTTGAGATACGATGGGCCACAAAAATACCGTTTAATGAGGCTGCCCCGACACGACACGCAGCTTGACTATTTCTTAGATCTTGTCTCTAGAGAGGGAGTCGGTCACTCAAAGGATATTAGCCGGCTGTCTATTCTCATTGAAATCCATTCCATTCTTCTTCCTTTTTCGTGGCCGGGTCTCTGTGGCCATAACTCTTGTGACTTTATGTCCGTTCTTCCGTTCATTGTTTGACCACAAAACTGTCCAAAGACCCAGTCAATTTCTGGGATTGTAAGTGCTTCCTTCCGCCTTTTCTGTTGGACATAAAATTCAAATATTTAGGGCCCAAATGTGCAGCGTCAACAGAAAGGATTGTTGATTGGTTAGGTTCCAAAAAGCATTGAGAGTAGGGTACAAATTGATGTCGCTGCACTCCCACAAGAAAATCCTGAAAGGATAATGCAAATGAGGCACTTGAGAACCATCAGAAAAAGCCTCACATCTTATGAATATGTAATTTCTGCCCAGCCATGAATAGAATCCCGTAACAAAGACACTCAACACTCAAGTGGCCATTGAGAGGCTTTCCTAGAGTATGGGAAAATATGTGTAAGTGTATGAAAAGAATCAAAATTAAGTGGAAAGTTTTCAGTTCTTCATCTGACTTGTGTCAAAGCTGCTGCTTACTTTGAGAAAAAACCTTATTCAAATGCGTTATAAACCTTTTTTGCGCCATGACAACATATTAAATGGGTCTTAAGCCCTAAACA